AACTGTGAGGGTAGAAACTGGGGTTTTTACCAGTGGAGAGCTGTGAAAACCATGCAAAGGCGCTATTTCCCCAAGCCCTGTGCTGAGACGAGATGCAGCCCATAGAACTGAGTGGTGAGCGCACACAACACTGCTGCTGTGCCGGACACACCGCAGCAGGCATGCAGCCTCAAGTGCTCCACACACGCCACAACAGCGGCAACCCCTGCAGCCTGCAGCTGCTAGTCCTACGGGGACTGAATCTCCCAAGGCACTCTGGGGTCTGTCTTTATCTTTTAATCATTTATAAACTACCAAAAGCCACACAAGATATTTCCCAACTGCACCTTATTACTCATTCCACAGGAAAAACCTGTACGAGTGCAGTCAGCTGCACGCTGTGAAATGCAGGAAAACAATAAATTAACAAAATCTTCTGAGGAAAAAAAATCAAGACACTTTTGGTTCTACTTCTTTTTCTTGCTGTCCCCTTTTTAATTTTGATGCCTGATGCTTTTTGATTTGCCTTATGCTTAAATTATTTTTACACTGAACTTATTCTTGTCTTTAATGTAAAACTAATGTAAGTTAAAACAAGACAACCAAACAACAACAAAAAGTAATCCCAAAAGCAACAACAGCAACGAAAAAATGAAAAGGCATTCTTGTTGCACACCTTTCCACACATCTCATACCTTGACCACAGTCTTTCCACACAGAACTGCACAGCAAAGAAAAGTTTTACAGCAATGTTTCAAAATCTGCTGCTGGTGCCAGAATTTAGGAATGCATCATCCATGTAACTAATAAAAATTAATTTTCAATTTGATTACAGAAGTCACTATAAAGCTCACATCAGAGCTCAGGTAACACAGCAGTTACAAAGGTGTTTAATGCTGTTGGTTTTGCATCAGACTTAGCTATGAGGGCCTCAGCACACCCCATGTCTGAAAAAAGAAATGCCAGCATTGTAGTAAGAAAATTACACTCCCCTAAGATATCACAAACTAAAGTAACAAAGGTATCTTTAACGTGAGTTTTATGCAAAATAGATCTGCAATATCTACCCAATTTTATAAAACTTCAAAGTCCTTTTCTATTATATATTAAAGGAACAATCTTCATTTTTTTAACTTGTCTTGCAAATGCATCCCAAATAATAATAAACAGGTGGCATGTCAGAGATCTACACACAGGAAAGGTTTGAGAGTGCCACAGTGCGATTAAGCACTGTGTAATCAGTGCAAAAATAATTGAAAAAAAGAGGTACAAAACCACAAAATTACAAATTAAGAGCTATGAGATAACTAGCCAAATACAGTGAAATTAAGTCAAATAGCATATGATAAAACACCCAAGGTCTGTTGAGAAGACAATTCATGAAGTGGGACATGAAATTGTTTAACAAGGTGCAAACTTACTCACAGGAAGGTAAACCAGCCATTTGTTAAGCATACAGATTAAAGTCATGGGTATTGCTTCAGGAAAGCACCACGTTTAAATCTCAAAATATCTCAAAATATAGTGCATAAAAACCTGAAAATTTTCTGAAGTGTTAAAATATTTGTGCAGTGGATTGATTTGTCCTGGAAGACACAGAGCTTTTCCTTTCAAGGCCATCAATTAAACCATTCTCACATTTCAAAATCTAACATTGTATCTCTCCACAGACATAATTAAGAGCCACTTAGCAACTTCAACTGGTTATAAAACACAAGTGTATGAAAAATTGCTATTTGATATTTAGGTTCTTGTAAGAAAAAAGTAAGAACCCAAGTAAAGGCAATTTGAGATACTGACACACTGTAATTTAAATGCTGTCATTTGCCATCCTGGACAAACACTGTGTCCCACACGAAGAACATTCCAAGGCAGGCTCACCCTGCTCTGGCTGACTCACATCCCCACGGCCTCTCCGGACTGAGCTCTACACCAGACCAGACCACCCCAGGGCACCAGGGCTGATGCAATCATGCAAATGATGAAAAAAAACCTCACCCAAGAATTAATTACTCATTTCCATGGGTAAGTCAGTCTGACAGGTGACCTCCTCCTCCTGGGGAAAAAAAATTTCCCCACCCTTCTGCAGGTCTTTCAGTGGAATCTCTAGTGAACTACTTACAATTCTGATTCTTGCAAGTTATGGATCTTTTCTTCCATGATGTGGGAAACTTGTACACCTTCTAAAACAGCATAACCACGGTGAACAGGCATTGTATGTGTTACCAACCATACCACCATCTCAGTATCTCCGTGAAAACAGTAACTCCTTGAAAGTGTATTTCCAAGTTCACAGAACTTTTATGTCCACACTACTGGGGCTTTTTTTACCAAGAATGAAAATAATCCAGTATGTAAAACCTCCAGCTACAGGTGAATTAAGGGAGTCATCTTGCCACCATGAACACTGAGAGGTTTAATCTGCAGGTGAAGCACAAGTGTTTTGCAGTGTTCGATTATAAAAGCATTTGAACTACTGCACAGCACACTCACCATATTTTGTCTGTGAAATTATGGACATGGGAGATGCCACTCTAAAGCTGGGGGAGGAGGTGCCAGTAAAACACCTCTGAGTGGAACCAAAACTCTGGAAAAAACCCTGTTCCTACTATTCCTAATTCCAACAGAGCACACCAGAGAAATTATACAGCACGTGTGTGCATCACCGACTCACTGTCTCTGCCCTGAACCAGATAGTGCAGTATTTTGTTCAATTCATCTGAAACCTGCCTGAACTGCCTCTGTAAGTTTTTAAAATTCTGTAATGGAAGAGAAAATTTATATTAGAGAAAGTACACAGGAAACCTGTTTTCCCATGCACATACGACAGACAGGTGTCTGGAGAAATGTGAGACTCTCTGGGGGAGTAGACACAAACCGGGAGAAAATCTGCCAAGGGAGATTCATTCCTCCATTTTCCAGAAGAGGAGTATTCCATGCTTGAAAAAACTTACTCTTCAGAAAAAATGTAGCAGTTTGCCACAAGTGCTGTTTGTGCTGTATCCACTTAACTTTACCTTATGGAAATGAGCCAGTTACGAGGTTGTAAAGTCTTATCCTTAGGCGAGCTTTTAGGTTAGAACCTAAAAGCTCGCCTTTTCATGTGGGATGAATTATGAGATGAGCAAAAGAACTCACCAACTCCTGCTGAGTTTCCAGACAGCTTGAAACAGATATTTACAATTAAAAAAGGAAGAGATTCAGCAATTCTGATAAAATAACAATTAAGTTAGAAACTTAATTAAAAATAAGCTTTGAGGTTTTTACTGCATGATGTGGCAATCTATGTATTTGCATCATACGTTTACTGATGCCATATCCTTTTCTGCAGACAACCAGGCACAACATTTAACTCTCTGCCAGTCTTATTTAACCCTTCTGCTCCCTGCAAACACATTTTACCTTGTGTTCATAGCTGAGAGAAATCAAGGTCCACTAAAGCTATGTTGATATAAAGAAATATTAACCGACACTGAACAAATCTGAACAAATCCGAACAGAGACCTTGCTTGTAAAAACTGTTTAGTCACCCCCCACCGAGGATGAATTCATATATCCTCACATACAGGACCCAGAAAGATACAAGTATTTTTGCACCAGTTCTGTGTGCTGGTCTGCATTTGCTGGCTTGTTTCTTAAATCAAGAGACTGAAATCGTAATTCTGGGTAAGAGTATGATGTGTCAGCCAATTGCCTTGCTTCCCAAAGGGAGCAAAAACTCTATTCATAATACAAAGTCCTGTCCATCCCTACTTTGACAGGCATTGGAAGCGCTTCCATAGCTGGGTCCCCTTAGGCCCATCTGTGCCATTACTGCATCCCTTGGATTTCAGGCGGTTACAGAGTTTCTTCCACTGTCCACCCCTACACCTCCTGAGGAATGGAGTCCACACACTGACTTTAGGACACTGTGCCTTCTTTCTTAAATTCATTACCAAGGCAAATAAAATTACTGACAATTTTTAAGAGCAGCATGAGCATCATGTTAAGATAGGCACTGCTGGATGAAAAAAAGTAATTCTCAAATGAAGTCTAGGTCTGTAGCACAACTATCAAACTGTTTAAATCTTATGCGCTATAGTAACTTTCTTTTCATAGTGGACTACCAAGTTTCCGAATTGCCTATCGCAAAAGTGAAAAATTACTGCTGAAAAGTGCTTTCCAATCAGAATGGTTCTAGTCTATGAAAGAACTTTCATCCCACTGTTGTTACTTCTAGCCATGGAAATACAAATAGTGCCTCTGTTAAGATCTATGATAATAAAGACTTATGCATTTTGATCTGCTTCCACATAACACTGACAGAGATGCCAATACAGAACAACACTACTTTTTATGTTAAATCTATATACTTTCTTCTTTTAAAGAATAAGGTTACATATGAAGACCTGTTTTGATCCACTAAATCATACTTAGTTTAAACCAGCAATTACAAATTGTAGTTTGTAACAATCCAAACAGAAACTGTAAAAAAAAAGCTAAATTACTGTTGAAAAAATAGCTCTGTCCTCCTGTACACCTCAGAGAATATATCTGCTATAAAATGGAAGTTATTACTGTATGTACTTTACCACTTCAAATAAGATGCAAAAAGGAATGACTGACCTGGTCCACAAAATATGCTAAATTCAAATTCAATAAAAGTGTAGTTTTAAAACTGTATACACACTGACAATGAAAATATCTGCCTGCTAAACATACATATGCAATCCTGAGTCACTGAATTCCTTCAGCATGCAAGTGAGCCTAATAAAATTAACTGATGCTCAACATACTGAAGTGGATTGCTGAATCAGAGCCTCCACTACAGAGTACGGTACTCGCCGTGATTTATTCTTGGTAAGAGCAGGTTGGCATCCTGATGCACGCTGGCATCTTGATACTGTCTCTCTTTGTTCTTGTTTCCCCCCCCCCACCCCCCACCCCAAACATCACAAAAGTAAGATTTATACAGTACACGGTGACATAGCTAAACCTTTAATGCAAGAAGTGCTGGCTTATACAGGGGCCCTCCAACTTACCTGTGGCTTGGCAGAAGAGGTGGAAGGGTCCCCGGACACTAACATGCTGTGCCTGGTCACTTAGGAAAGGTGGCAACAACATGACCTTTACGGGGTCTTTGCTAGACCAAACATCAGGCTGGGTACTGGTGGGTGAAGGAGGTGAACCACTTCCCACACAGGACATAAAGGAGGTACCAGTAGGAGGGAAAGGTATAGGAGATGAGGCTGTGTGACAGAAGAGGACAGAAAAGAAAGTAAAAGGGTACTAAGGAAAGAAATTGCAAGAAATACATCACACAATGAAGAAATAATGCAAAAAGACAAATGAGTTTTAGAAAGGTAGTAAGACAAAGTATCCCTAGGCCCCTAGAGAAGAGCACTTTCCTCCTTCTCCCATGTTATTTTTCTCCCATCCTTCCCACCTCCCCACCCTGGGTCATAACCCATTCAGTTGAAGCTGAGAGGCTGCTTCAAATTAATTACGAACTTTTTTGCATCCCCCCCACAAGGAAATCACAAGGAACATTAGTGCTTGCCAAATGGAAAGCACTGTGTCATTGTGTCACATTTCAGAAAAGCCAAGATTAATACAATTTATTTTAATATTTATTCTGTTATATGTACATAATTAATAATAGAAAAATAAAACCAAACTGAATCTTATAAAATATAAACTGTTTACACTAAGATGGTCTAAATTATGTTTGCATGAAGGTTCAACACAGAAAAGCAGCCCAGGCATACTGCTATTTACTGTTAAAATGTATTCTACTTCTAGCAATATTTACAGAACGAGGCAGTGAGAGGAACAATTCTTCAGGACTGTACTGCACACATAAAATGCTTTTACAGACAAACAGTGCTGCTGTGAACCAGGCTGAGAACAAATGCACACTTTCACGGTAGCAGGCATGATTCACATAAACAGTTCAAAGGACTGATTGTTTAAGCAGCTCCAGTTTCAGTCTCCAGTTGCATAGGAGAGTGAAGGTATCATCCAGAAAGGGTGACGCTGCAAGTACTTGTCACAAAAAGAAGGCGAGTTATTTCTGAATCTGAAAAGAAGAAAAAAATCAGCAACATTTTCTCATCAGGCTGTGTCCCAACAGTCCATTCCAGCGAGTCACTAGCTGAATTGTTGGAGTTAATTCTTCTTGATTCCTCTTTTGCTTCCACAATGCATGAAACCTCTTTCCTTGTCACTGCTAACTGACAGTTGCTTGCCTGTACTGTTCTATAAACTAAAGGAAAAAAAAAATAAATCCAGTTTTGTATAGAAAATAAAATGTGACTATGTCCAGCTGGCTGGCTGGTGGGGGGGAGGAAAAAAAAAAACCGAACAAAAAAAAAAGCATTTGTTTCCTCCTTCCCCATTCCCCACTTACTCCATGTTTTGTACTGATATTGTTGTACCTACATTTCTAGAAAGCAGCAAAGAAAAGAGCCTTTAAACAAGATTATCCCTGAGTCTTACACAAATCAAGGCAATGCTACTATCCCCATTATACCTTAAAATCTAAGATACTTGTAGAGCAGTTAAAAAAATTAACTTTAACCAACTAAAGAGACCTAGTGTGCCAAAAACACAAAGCATAAAACTAAAAACAATCACTAGAAGCAAAGAAAAAAAAAATGTCCCAATCTGGACAAAAGTCTGTAATTTACCAATCTGATAAACTAAACTCAATTTCCAATTTGGAATTAAAATGAAACTAGATTTTTAATGGCAACTAAAAATATGTGAAGACTGAAGTACTTTTTAAAGCCAACTGAATTATAAAGTTACTTTTACTCTATCGAAGAATATGGCCAAAGAACAAGCAAGTAGCTTCACTAGAGCAAAGTGCTCCGTAGGGGGGAAAACTGGGAATAAACAAGTGGCGATCTGAAACTGGCCATTTGAAAAAAACAGAAAAAAAGACAGTACAACACAAGATGCTATGGTCTCCAGACAAGTACACCACTTCTCTAATCTGCTGAGATCTGAACAAAAATTGGCTTGCTGTACAGCTTAAGCACGTAACCCCTGCTATGGCTTAGCTGTCACACCCAGGCTCTCCGTGCTCAAATAGCCAGCCGCAGGAGCACAGCTCACTTCTGCCACCGAGAGGGACCACGGGCTCCTTCAGTCCCCCTCCACGTCCGAGTCGGCGTACTTGAGCTCGCACTTGACGTCGAAGGGCTTGTCCTTGGCCTCACGGGAGGCCTGTGAATCCCCAGCCTGCAGCTGGCTGTTCCCGCAGTCGGGCTCCGTCTCGTAGCCGGTGTCGTGCGCAGGCTTGGGCTGCTCCCCGCTCTGGTGGCTGACACTGCCCTGCTCCACCAGTGTCTCTTTCACACTTTGCTCACAATCAGAAAAATCTGACTTCGTTTTCTTCTTACCAAGCAGCATCACAGAGCGAAATTTCAAGCACTGCCCTGGCAAGTAGCCTTTGTAACAATTGTAGGAGAGCAGGCACAAAAAGAGAATGAAAAAGAAGAGGAAGAGGAACATCAACAGGAAGTTATCATTTGACTTGAGGAACATTGTCTTTTCCGGGACTGCATCAGGAATTGAATTGAAGAGCTCTGTGTTGGAGGCTACACTTGTCAGGACAGGGCCAATGGGCTTTGTTAATATCCTTGCTGTGGTTACTGGTACCATGTGAGTGGTCGAGATGTGAGCAGTGGACACCTCGGTTGATACAGCTGACACTTTTGGCACATCACTATTACCTTCTGTTGGTGCAGCTGTTGCAGTGGGACCCACCGTGGTATGCTGCATTTTTTTCAGTTCCAAAACATGCTTAGCTAGCACTTGAGAAAATTTTTTATTTTTCACTTTTTCTTCTGACAAGCATTGGTAAACACCACTGTCTCCTTCTGATAAATTGAAGATGAGCAATGCCTTCTCCAGCAGACGGTACTTGGGACTCTCCACTCTCAGCACGTCATCTTTGAACTTCCAAACTACCTGTGCCAGATTGGACTTTTGAGAACACTTGAGTTCTGCTGTGCTCCCATGCTTGAATGTATGCTGTAGGGGATTCTCTCTTACTTTATCTGGAACATCAAAATAAACGTGCAGAGTATCAGCAATGATTCCAGTTTGCTCTAATCTGTACAGCTTCACCAGACTGTGTTACAGTCTTACTGGAAGCATGAAGATTATGGCATTCACCTCACAAGACCAGGTGGGCAGCATGCAAGAATCTCAGTGGAATACCAAGCTGCACGTGGAACATCAAGACAAACTAAGAGATAGGACATCTCAACTCTAAGACAGCCTCACTTCCAGATAGAGGTGAGACCTCACTGATCCACAACTGAGTGTGCACCTGGGAAGTCACTGTTTGGGAAAGATACTGTACTTAGTCTCACTTTATATCCAATCAGTACATTTTAAGTAAAGCAGCAACTACAAAGTATCCAAGGGGAAACTGAACTAGGAACTCTCTTCTGAAAAAAAAAAAGATATTTACACTTATAGCACACCGGCAACTTATGGCATCCCATAAGTTAATAAAAAAAATAACAAGCAAAGCTCTCATGGTGGTTCACGCTTTGCTTGGATTATAAATAAAAAGTGAGTAGGTCAAACTCTTAAGAGCTTTTTTTACTTGCAGCTAAAATCTCTTGTAACTCTACTCCACTTTATGATCTCCTTGATCTGGTGGGAGCAGCACACAGGACAAAGAACGGACCTGTGGTTACTTGCTTTAAAGCATTAGGGAAGGTACTTCAGCTACTCTCTATCATGTTCTATGCTACCCTCCCCTTTCACCACAAAACCAGCTTTTTTTTTCAGAATAATTTAATCTGATCTAGCAGCAATAACCAAGCACTTGTCAAAGCTCACAGTAGAATGTCAAATGCTGCATCAAAGAGACAGAGGCCTTTGCATTAGAAGTACTTCTGGTATTGCTTTCATTCACAAGTCACTGTTGAGGTGCCCCCATTCATTTCAGGGGGTTGTGCACTGCACACTGAAATGCATACAAACACAGACAGTTTTTAAGACAACATGCAGTTTGTACAGATGCTCAAATATCCAAAGCAGAATCCCGTACCTATTACAATGTAAATGAATGTCCAGATAATCACAAAAGCAAAGCTGAACTAAACAGAACTCTCTCACCACTCCATCCAGACATATGAAGGAGCTCTTCGAAGACTGACTCACCAGAACAAGAAGATGCATCTCCACCTATGTTTTGAATCCAGCTCCTGTAAAAGGAAGTCCACTCATTACAACTTAAAATCTTGTTTCCTAAAGTCTGCCCATCCCCATGTACTAATAAGAGTAATCTAAACAGCATTAACAGACATCAAATAGATAGGAGAAAGTCTGTATTTGAAAACATTCAATTTCTAAAATTCCCATTATCAGTATGGGACAAGACTGATTAAATATTGATTGAAACTGTACGGTCATCAAAGGATACTATTACCTTTCCATTTCACCTTCTTTAAAAATATCAATGCAGGAAGCTTCAAGAGGTTTCCAAGCACAGTAAGGATCCCTTGCTAAAACACAGTCAACACAAGTGGTGTACTTGTCACAAAATGCCACTGGAGACTGCACCACACCAGAATTTGAACTAGCAAAGAGGTATCTTCTGCCCTAAAGAAAACAAAGCGCAACAAAAAACAATCAATCACTTTCTCAAAGCCAAACAACCCAATTCAATGGAACAATTTAAGTGTTATTAAAAAGCTGCATACATACAGCCTTTTTTGTAAAAGTGGTGCTTTAGGAGAGTAAGCATTTGGTTAGCTCTTGTTTCTAAGGAAGTTCTCTTGGAACTATTGCAGCAATGCTGAAAAGTGCAAAAAGACAACAAAAAACTGGAACAGGTACGTGGAAAGTAACCACGACTAACTATGACTTTATCTGTTTTCCCAGAAATATGAGCGCAATAATCCTTCTCTGAGGCAAGGCAAGGCTGCGCTGGTGACAAGGCTGCAGTTGGCACACACAAGACTGAGCAGGTAGTAGCGCTGCTCCTGTTAACCCAAAGCAGCCCCACTGCCTTCAGCTCTTTAGCCAGCCAGTCTCTACACAACATTAGCATCATCCTTACGAGAGTTCTTAAGAAAGAACACTGGTAGTATTCAAAGGAACCAGCACTGGCAAGACACGAGAAGAAAGGGAAAATAACTGCAAACAGCTGCTGAACCATTGCTGCTGGGGATCCCAAAGCAGTCTGACTCCGAGCACAGCAGGAAGAGACCACACTCATCCTTATTATAAAAGGCAGGCAGCTGCCATATCTCACTCATCCGCTTTAGAGCTCAGGGAAAGTAATAGCTAAAGGTACACTGTGACTTTGCATACTATGAGGCAAGCCTCAAAAAAGGGATGTGCTGCAGTGCTCATAGAAGGAAGTCTACAGTGTTGGAGACTTTACAACTTCCTAGGAAAAGTTTCCCATTCTGCTCAAAGATTTCCACAGACCACCAAGCACTGCTCACTCTCTAGTGCTCTGCTGGATTACACTGCAACAGTGCAACACTGCACATGGGTTGTGGTGTCTTGGCATGTTTCACTGCTCATATATACAAGATTCCAGGGAATATGCAGCAAGCTGAGCAAACCATTTAAAAAAAAATCCAGACACACCTTCCAGTTAAGCAGGAGTTAAGGTGATTTACTGTAGGCTCATCTGACTGCCCACCACTATGGGAAGAACCTAGAGACCACTGAAAAATGCTCTCAGAAAGGACTCTGACTCCAGAGAGGTCTAAAGCCCACCATCAGGGTAATTATTACCCTTCTGTGGTTAGTCCACTACTGTGGGATGCCATGACATGTAACACGAAACCAGCTCTGCGACGGCCTTCAGTAGCCACTGACTGTGGAGGCAGAAACTTGTGTTTTCAGACTGGGAAGCAGCAGGAATTCCCTGCTTGGGTGGTACTGTGACTCTAGAGTTATCTTGACTCTGGCAGCTGACCCGAACTCCCACTCCCCATAACTGAAAAGGACCTCTGGTTTTATGGGAATGTACCGGGTAGCTGAGTATGTCACAGAGTATGTGGCCCCTGGACCCAGAGTGAATAAATTCAATGCCATTATTTCTATAGAAGCCTTTCAAGTGTGTACTGAAATTGTTACATGATGTGTATTTGCATCAGGCTTAATGCCCATCCCTTCCTTAGCACTCCTCCGAATTAGGCAAATCATAATTAAGCCAGTTTAGGAATGATCCCACAATTATAAGAATGGGTATTACCATATATATTAGAAGAGCTATCAATCATTATCTTCTGTGACAGGGCAAATTCCAAAACTTCCTGTCAAAGCGAGTAATTTGAACTTTTTTTGCAAATTAAGCAAATATTTTCTGTGTATGTATGTGTGTGTATATATATATATACACACACACACACACAAAATACATATCTGCACAGATATATAGGTGAGTTGTCAGTGTGATGCATCATACAAAAATAATACAAATATGCTTACGGAAAACTAAGCACAGACATTTTTAATCCTGCTTTCTGTCTGTCTAGCAAAAACAGACTCTGTCCTTTCTTTCTATTATAAGCATTAAAGGATAAATAAGCATGCAGAACGAGCTTGTAAATAATATGGCATAAAGCTCTGTTCCACTGAGCTGATCATGCTAACATGCAAAATTTTATTAAATATCACACAAAAATAAAAGCTGTTTCAAAGTATTCTTAAGTCCCTAAGCTGCAGAGTACTTATGTATGGATCACTAGGTAGCTACCGAATACTGGTATTACCACTAGATACTTCAAAAGAGGCACTCCATCTTCACGAAACACAGAAAACCTCACTGATGCTGATACTACAAGTGACCTTAGGCACAGACAGATAGATATATTCATGGATGTGAAGGTCTGAGCAAGTAGGGGCAGAAACCTAACTCATGAACAAACTACACAGTGACCATCTTCCTACTGTCCCAAAAGCATTATAGGATTAAAGCAAACAACAGATAAACAGTGCAGGACAGCTGCCAGGTTTGGAGTGTGCAGCAGCTCCTGTGCCATCAGCTGGAGCTGCAGCTGGCGACCCACTGGGCAGACAGGACGTCACCAGAGGTCGTCACCCACAGCTGCAGCAACGTGACTGCTGTCACAAACACACTCAGCGTGCAGGAGCCTGCGAGATTTGGGACAGCAGACAATTATGAGTCCCTATGCTTGAAGAGTGTTCTCTCTTAGGTCTATTTCCTCAGAGCCACACACCACTCCTCTGCTAACCTCAATGCCTGGGATTTTTCTTCACAAATCTGCAGTGGCCACAAGGGGTCAGGTTTTTTACATCCCTGCAAAACTGAAATTAGTTTCTTAAAACACCTTCTGTTCCTGCTTCTGCACATGGAAAGCAAGTGAAGACCCTGCACACCTGTGCTCCTCCAGCCATTCTCCATGTCTAAATACCTCCACAAGCTTACCATCTACCAAACATACTGAAATGCAGCAGGCAAGATGTGATTGTTGCAGCATGGTGAGTTACAAATGCAGCCTTTGGCTGGCTCTATGCACAGTGATGGTCTCTTTACCACGAAGTCACGAAGTGGTGCAAAAAAAGTTTTGTATAAGAACAGAAGGAGATAAATGCTGCGATGCTTATACCACTCACTGTTTTGGATGAAATCAAGAGAGTTTGGACTGGTTCAAAATTTGGAAAAAGCTGTGTTTCTTCAATAATATGCATTCCATTTTCATAGCTGATAGCTTTGTGCAGGGCTCCTCGATCTGGAACAAAAGAGCAATATGTTTAAGTAAGATCCTTGAAATAAAAAGGCAAGAAAAAGGCCTAAGCAACTGCTGTAAGTTGTCTCAATAATCTGCTTCCTTCAGCAGAACAACTCTTTGACAAAGGCAACTATCAAACTTGCCATCAGGACTTCTGAGCAGGAAATAATATTCTGGGGCACAGAATGACCAGTTTGGGATTATACTGTGTAGTTTTGCTGAATTCACTGAAGCAGTTCTTTTCCTGCAATCCTTTTTCAAAGCACCTACGACTGTCCAGTTACTGTGACACCTTACTTTTTTTTTCTTACACCAGCTGCTGTAAAAGCCCTGTAAATACAGAAATCGCAAGAGTTTCTCTAAGAAAACTTAAGAATTAGTGCATCACCAAAGCCAGGTGCCCTGCAGAACTCACCTGTACCGATGAACATAACATCATAGATGGTGCCATTGAGTGCTCTGACTCTGTCAACTACAATCTGTGTATACTTCACATCTCGCTTTACTAGGCGAGGTCTGTCTCCCACTGGGGTCACTGAGTCATCCATTAGAGGATGATCTTTAACAAATTGCAATGTTTTGTCTGGTAAATTCAAAGAACTCATGTAGTTTGATGCTCTGGCTTCACTGTTTATACACTAGAAGAGGGGACAGGGAAAGGGTGAAAAAGAAAAAAGAGAACCTAATTGCATCATTTACTTGTACAAAATAAAGACAATTAACAGCAGCTGCACGCATTTTTCTTCCCCACATTATTTTGGCCAGTAACCACACCTGTACACTATACTCATTGTACCAAGGAAGGTCATCAGACCTCATGCCACTTTGATGTGCTAAGCCCCGAGTTTTGGACTATATTTTATTTGGGTCCGAACTACATTCTAAGACAGTATTCATTCTGTGCTCCCATACACCTTCCATACTTTTAACCATCACCTCTTTCAGCAACAGTATGACTGTAAGGAACATAAGCAAGTAACAAAAATCTGAAAGATACCCAGCACTAGGAAAATTTGCTTTTGCAGAGCAGTCCACTACATTGGATAAACATGTTGATTCTACTGAGACAATGCAACAGTTCCTATACTTCCTTTCATTTGAACAAAAAGTGTATGATGTTGCTAGTGTAAACTGAGTTTTATTTCACAATGAGAAAAATATTAACAAAATAATGAAATACAAAACCAGCAAACAACTTAATTCCAAATTTAAAAACCCCAAAACCCAAAAACTTTGACTCCCAGATAAAAAGTTCTGAACATATCACTGGAGTATTTTTCTATGAAGTTTTTACAAGAAGCTACCAGGTGAGCACCAACATTAGTAGGTTACTGGTATCCCCTAGTCTGTTTCCTCCTGAGCATTGAAAAAGGAATGAGATCCAAGAGTACAGAAACTTACCGCACCAGGTCGAGGATTCGGAATTTCCCCATTGTATCGGACCCACTTTGTATGGGCCTGTTCCACTGTAGTACTCTGCATGTATTTTCCTTTTGAGAAAACCTCTTCTACAGTAGACAGATTGTATGCACACACTGCTGACAACCCCACATTGTTCCTATTAATTCAGGAAGAAATTAGGAAAAAAAAAACAAAACCCAAAAAAACACAAGAGTAATTATTTTCTTGTAGTAACCAATTGAGATTAAAGGTACTTATCCAGGAAAAGGCTATACCACACTTACAGTTGTGGGGTGAAGACTCCATATATCACTGGTTCCTTTGAAGTCGGAGATTTGAGAATAAAAACATCATTGATAACATTGAAAATTAAATTCTTATCAGGGATGGTACAAATCAGTCTGGCCTTGAGAAACGAAGTCCATTTTTTTTGCAAGGTCCTTAGTCCTCCTTGGTCCCTCTTATGGTATTAAAAAAATAAAAAGGTGTTTGTTAGGAGAACTAGCAGCACTTCTGCACTTAAGAACCACGGCTATATAGCATGCAATTACCAAGCCCTGGTGTTTTATAATATTTAATCTATAGCAACATCAATAAATGTTAACACATTCACAAACAAAACAGTATGAAAACCACAGGAAAATTGGTTCAACAAAAATAATGCAAAATTATTTCTATCACGCGTACAGGGAAGATGAAAAATGGGAGTTAATGAAGAACCATACTTCAGCATCACTCAAAATAACTGAGATGGGCAATGTATCATTAGGAAAAAAGTAAAACAAGCATGGAAGTATTATACTGTCCTTTAAGAGAAATACATAATACTGCATTTGTTTGGTGACATCAAAACTGATTTAAATTCTAACGCTGCAATATGCCTTAAGACTTGCCTGACACTGATTATTTCATTAGAAGAAATCCAGCAATAGTTTAATCCTTCTAGAAGTTACCACCTTTATTAAGGATTTGTAGGTACCAAGGCTTAAGTTGAAATATATTGACTAGAAATGTATTTCAAAATATTTGAGCTGTAGCTCTGATATTTCCCTTACAAAACTACATAGTGAAACAGTATTAGTATTTCCATTAATTATCCAATTGTATATGCAATGTATTAAAAGGAAATCTGCAAAATTTAAAAATAATTAAGTATAAATGCTTAGAGATTTGCATCCTGTCACTGATTTCTACTTCAAACAACAGTCTGAAATATATAGTAATATAATAAATGAAGCTCTCATATTCCACAATACTCCCCCCTTCTAAAGTGCGCACAAGCTGTCAGTGGGCAGAGTGCCATAATAGTGCCCCATCTAAACCTGCCTCCAGCTCCTCTGTTTAATGGAAATCTCAAGGGCATTAACTTGTTATTGATGTTTTGACTTCCCTGTTTAAATACAAACCAGTGAAGTCAAAATAAAACTTTCAACCTCATAAAAATGAAACAGGCCAGATAAATTTCCTGCTGGAAAAAAAAAGGAAATTGATACATTCCACTGACAAAGTTTTTGTTAAATAAACATTTTTTACTGAAAAAACTTTCATCAGCAAGACTTCTAACCAGCACTCCTGAGGATGTACATGAACTGGCTTGACACCCTGAGGTTTAAGCACAGCAAGTGTGACAGAATCAGGCTGCTGGTGACCATTTCCCTTCAGGTTCTGGCAGTCATAGCAGCCTCACGCAAGTCCCATCTGCTACACCAGAGTCAAGAACTATTTTGCTGTGGACACGGCTACAGTTGTGTTTACATACAGCTACTTCAAAGTTACTTGACACACATCCTATCTGCTCAGCTCCAACCAAAATAATTTCTTCACAGGGAGCTGTACTTGTGTAAAAGATTTAACAATGAAAACTGAAGCAACACTTTTTCTGTTGCCGGGTTTTGTCATGGTTGCTTTTTCTTCTCCCAGAGAAGACTAGAAGCCCCAGATGTACTGAAATTTCACAACTGTGCAAAATCAAATCAAGTATTTATTTACAAAGCAACTATTAGGCCTCTCAGTTCCAACGAACTGACTGAACAGCTTATTCATTAAGGTTTACTAAACTCAAACACCTCCATTTACCTGGCAGTAAGTCCAGAATAATGAATGCTTTTTAACATGCACACACAAGATTCTATGAGATATAGTAAAAGTAAACTGAACTTATCTCCCACCTTGCATACTCTAGCTATTCTTGGAATCATCAATTTCCCAACAAATTCATACTCCACAGACACCTCAGTGAAAAAGAAGTATATCTTGTCGTCTTCTCCATCTGTGCTGTTTGGATCTGCTCTTATCACATCAGCAAAAACAAAGCTGGGTTCTATAGATACAAACAGAAGAATTTTCTATTACATATGTGACCACTAACTTGATTCCCTCAAAGACCCTCAGAATTTGTCTTTCACCCAAACTCCACACTGCACTCACTTCCTCTCCACTTCGTGACCTACTTACACAGTTTAATGTACATCACATGAACAGGATTTCTATAAAAACCCAAACCACAAAAAAATCCCCCAGAAACAGAAAAAAAACCCAGAACACCACAAAACCTATGTGAAAGCACTAAGATACTGAGAGATAGATCTCTATGATCTGACAGCTCATTACTTCAGCATTCTTCAGACCACAGTCAAATGTGGTTTTAGATTCTAATGGGCCTGGAGAGGTAAGCCTCCCTTGCCTGCCTCTCCTCTATTTCAGCTATTAGCTGAAGCACTAAAATGACAGTGCCATTACAATATATATATTACAAAACTCAGAATCCTATACTTTTTGAAAAATGTACATTATTTTGGTCCTTTTTGGAACAAAGCCTCAAACCTCTGAAAATTCACAAAATTCAGTGAATTTTCAAATTCAGGAACTTGAAATATCAAGAACCATGATCAGCTCAATTTAAGAACCAATTCAAGACCAAAACATCCAATTCCTTACCATATCATAACCTAGCTGCATTATTGCAAGGATGAACAAGCAGGTAAGAAATAAACCATTAATGTCAAGTTGAAACATGTATATTCTGAAGCTGTTTTCATCATCAGTCCTGATAAAAATCCTGACATTTCAAAATAGAATCTCTTGGATGCATGAGGGCAAACACTCACAGTGTATGCCAGTATAACCAAATCTGTCTCTGTGAGACATCAGACAATTGCTCCTTATCCAGGTAAGACACTCAAACTCTGTACGTGTGATATTGAAAAACTTGTTTGGTCCACTACTTATGCTCACTTACCATTAAGCCAAGGTATTGCATACTCTGTTCTCAGAGGGCTCTGATGAGAGTGACGTGAAATAATAGGTTCACTTCCCAAGAAATTGTAGGAAGTCCCAGAATAAAGCTCCTCATCTTCAACACAAAACCAAATATATTAGAACTTACGGACTGGATACCAAAAAGGGTACACAAATATCTTGGGATTCTATCTTAGGTTTTAACTTCCCACTAGAAATGGTAAACACGAATTTACTCCGAATTGCCCCAGATACTTCTTTTATGTTTACATTTCTGTCGATCATTTTCAAGCTAACACTTCCACACTTGGGTTTATTATTATTACTGCTCTAACATGAGAACTGACAAAAGTACTCGTTTTCGTGGCATTTTAACATTCAACATGAAAACCTACAGTTTATCTTAAAACATGCAAATTTAGTTAAATGCACCAGAATTCTGGAAATGTTTTCCTCTCTTTCTATGCCAACATTATTCAAACTTGATGTATATAATATTTAGGCACAATGCAGGGAGCATAATTTTTTATTCTCATTTCCTGTTTCATGTGATGTTGAGCTTCTCTTTTATGATCTTGATACAGACAGGTTAATGCCACAAATTCTGGCTTCCCCAGATTAAGATTCGGTGGTGTGTTTCCATGCAGTAAATATTCTTGCATTAAACATCTCACTTCCCTATTCTGTATCACATCTTCAGGACAGCTAACAATACTTCTTGTTATATTTACTGAAATTACAATAATTGATACTACAAGGGCAGTCTAAATACATTTAGGCTATCCGGATTAAATATGTTTAACATCTAGAAATACAGTTTGAAAATTGGTATTTTAGAAATTGCTGCCGAAACAACCTAGTTTAAGTTCTCCTTTTAAGAAACATTCTTAGGTTGCCTTCGTAAGTATTTTATTATTTATACAGACACACAATACAGACAAAAAATTATGGATGCAAGCCACAATTTTGATAATGACTGACTGGAGTGTGACAGTGGAAAAGACAGAACATGTTTAGACATAAGAATGAGGAATGCGAAGTCTGAACTTACCAACCATAACAGATGTGTAGCTTTGAGCAGGATCAAATGGACATCTGCCCTTACCATCTTCATTTTTACCTCCAAGTTCAAATGAAATTAAATTCTGTTGAAAACCACAAAACAACTACTAGAACTTTTTTTCTTTCGGCCACTTAACTCATGCAAAGTTAGCTAAAAATTAAACACCAACTAATGGGCTATATCATCAACTTCCAGCATCAAAGGCATTCTGTGTAAAATTATAGAAGGCATATGTGTTTTCCTAAAATCTTATCGAGCCCCAAAGACAGAGAAAACATGTGATCCTACAATTTGTGAGAGTGGAAGCAGAAAAGAGCAAAAGATGAAAAAATAAATTCAGACAGACTTCAAGAACAAGCGCCCAAAAAAAGCTAGACAGCAGGAAAGGCAGAGAAGTTAACTGATACATAGAAAGAACCAGCAACTATTCAATTAGCTTGAAAAAAATGGAGACTCAGAAATCAAGAAGCAAGCGGTTTCTAAGGTGGATTAAGCAATTTTTGAGATGACGGTAAATTTCTGAGATAGAGCATAATCCAATTAGGCTTTAAAAAGTAACAGAGTACTTTTGCTGCTACTTTATAAATCCCTTACAAACCAGAAGAATGAGGATCAGAAAGCTGAAAGGTAGCCACAGTACTTGGGAAGTAATCAGTATGAAATGAAATGTATGTATGTAATGAATGTACTATGTAATGGAAGCACTGGAAGCTAAAGGCAAAAAGAATTACAAGATTTCTCAATTTTCAAATTGCTAAGAGCTGCAGTAAGGAAATGATACAAGAGTCAGTGGTGAGAAAAGGGAGTTTTAATTTTGTGCCAAGACTTCACTCTGAAGGATTCAGCACTATACATCTTTGGCACAGCCAGGAGCAGAGACAAGCAGACACAGGAATCTGAGAAATTTCACAGAGATTCAGTAATGACTGGTAGTTGCAAACAGTGTAATTTCAGTTTTAGCAACCAGTTTCATGCTAACACACAATACATGAAGAAGTATAAAAGCTAAGAAAAGGCAGATCTGCAGTTAGACAAGATAAATCAATAATTCATTAAATGCTCCAAAAAAGGAGCCACTATGATGGGACACTGTGATGGGACACTATGATGGGACAGTGCAACAAGTGCTCCTAACCTTACAGCCAACAGCGAAGATGCAACAGTTTTGGGAAACGAGAGTAACCCGAGCTGCTTATAAGTTACAGCTATTGCTGGTCAAAATATGTGTATGTTTCTTACCAGGTAATCACACGTTGGCTGAAATGCATTAGTTCCACACACGTAGAGGAAAGTATCATTCAGCTGTTGCAAGACACGCACGTAATTACGACATTCTGTCTGTAATAGAGGATGAGGAAAGGACTAGACTCTGATAAACCACAGCTGCCACATTCCAACATAACCAACATTGTCCACTGCCGCTACTTATGCCACATCATACCGGCAAGCCCAGGTACCTGACACATAGGTGACACTGGGACACCATCTCCCTAGAATCTCCAGGAGCTCTGATCAATCCTGCAAGCAGCTGTTTCCTACATCCGATAGTATGCAGCTGCCTCAGTGTCCTAGCAGGACAGCATGCTCAGCAGGGTCCATCCCCAGCTGTTTTATGGGAGGACAAGCTCCAAAGACACCTCCAGTCCACGGGAACAACTACTTAAACATGAAGTGAGTTTTAGACTTTGTCATCCCTTGTACATCTAGATGAAACAATGACAGCCCAAGGTTGTTTAAGTGCAAAACCTCTAATACCCTGAGATTAGCCACAAAGCTTTGTTGCTTATAATGGCATATTTTTCTTTTTTTTCCAGTCCTTGATACTGTCCAAGGAAGCTCCATAGTATCTTTAGCTCTGAAACAGAACAAGGAATTTGACCAAAATACTTAATAAAGGATACAATAAAAATTCAGAATAATAACCAAGTAAAACAACTTTAAACCACCACTTAAAGAGAGAGAAAAACCAGTGTCAATAACACCCCTTAATTCTTGCTGGTATACTGCCATATTCCTCCATTAACTGCTGTTCCATGAACTTCTTAAGCAAGTTTAAGCACTGACCTTACTATCCTTCTTATGAGACAAATCAGGTATTTCTGTGACTGTATAGGGGGGAAAAAAAGCAGGGGGAAGAGGGGAAGAGTGTAAAACCAATTTTCTGCCAGATAAGGCCCTTGAACAGCTGTATGAATGCTCTCTGCCAGATAAGGCTCTTGAACAGCTGTATGAATGCTTTCTGCTGGCATTATACAGTATAGTGTTGACGGGTGGGGGAAAGAACCGCCCATTTAAGTTTAAGAAATAGCAGTATTGGCTTAATACCTTGACCCTTCTGAAATTACTGTACTGTGCAAAACATCATAGCTACATCATAAATGGGACTAGCAGAAGGTTAGAAGTGAGGAAAAAGCATGGCTAGCAGTAATTACGAGCTGCTAAACTGGAAGCAGAAGAAAATAAAACATATTCAGAGCTCTATCAAAGTACATGCTTATGAGGTCTATTACACCCTACCAATAATTTTTGAGAGGACTTTTGGAGAATCACACACATGTTTGCTAAACATATGCTCATGCACAGGAGAAACTTATATGCCATATTCACTATGGCTGTGTATCAGTATTATTAATAGCAACCACAACTGATCCGTAAAAAAAAAGTATTCTCTGATCCTATCCCTGCAGAGGCAGACAAGGAGGAAACACACCTTGAATATCCATCACACCTCATGTTCAAATAATGTATTGATGGTCATCAGTGGTCAGTCAAGGAAAAGAAGTAGCTAGACAAAGGGAGACAGCCCACTCCCATCCTGATGAACAACACAAACACATGGTAACTATCAGCCCTGGACAAAGCATTTGGGGGTCTTTAAGAGCGTGAACTAAACAGGCTGCATGTTCAAGGATCACATCCATACAAGTGCAGAATAGATCTGCTTTTTGTATTCAGACAACTTGCAGACTTCTACTTTCAAACCTGTGTTAAAGGCCTGACCATCAGTCTTTTCCAGCAAATCCTTGCTGTACTGCATCATTAAAGAAGTGGTGTTACACAAACAGAAAGGTACATTCACATACAGTCAACTACCCCAAGTAATCAGGCAAGAGAGGCAAGACAAGGAGGTCAGCCTGTGCCCTGGCAGTCATAAGGAGTCAGCAGTTCCCAGAAACACCAAGGGATCCCACCAAGCTGACAAGGAGGGCTGGCTGCTTGGGTGCCCTCTAAGCTGTCTTGAGTCACACCACAAGGGGAACAACTGCTGAGCAACACAAAATATGCATATACCAGGCCAGCGGAAATAAACTGGCCTAATAAAAAACCCCTATGCCCTAAAGCAAAGTGCACAAAATTAATCATTCACTCTGTGTAAAATCAAATGCTGTGAAGGAATTATTGCAATAACAAAACACAACAGTTGCTACCAATTACTTCAGTGACAGCAATACTGGTTTATCATATTAATGGAAAAACATTAAGCACACATTAGGGTGTGTTCAGATTTTCAAACATTCAAGTAATATTCAAAACAAAAAATAATGAACTAAAAAAAAAAGACAACTAAGCATGCTGCAGTTTCTAACACTCAAGTTAATTTTAAAAGGTTAGGTGATTGTTTTGAAATTTTAATTTCAAACACTTGTAGACTTTCTTCTTTTAATGTCACTCCTCTTGAAGTAAAATGTGCAAGATCTTTCTCCAAGTTCAATAAAAGTACATACCTGTTCTGATTTGCCCTTAATTGCACATTTAGTCCTTTTATCTTCTGTGACCTTCCAGTGTAACTAAGTCAAAAAACATGCAACAAAAAAGCACATTGTACTTTAAGTCAATGCAAGATCTGAAAATCTTACAGTAACACACACAAGAAAAGGCAACCCCATCTAGAGGAAATACAAGACAATTTGCAAGTAGCATTCAAAGGTTCAAAGCCATTTTTTCCCAGGTAGGTGACATTTTCAAATCCATGTACCTTAACTAGAACTAAACTACCATCTTCTGGATTCACAATGATGATTCCCCACCAATGTCTAATGAACTTTTCATTAACATATACATTAGGGAAATGCAACTGCAACTGGCTTAAGTATTTTTTCAGTTTGAAGTACTTCTCTCTTTCATTAACACTTGAATAAAAAACACTTGGGGAAAAGGAATCAAAGAAAATTTACTGGACTAATATGCATTATACTAAGTACAACTTTACAACTATGTTGCATATGCTGGTCAAAATGCCCACCACCACCCATGAACATGTTCTTCATATTAAAAATCAAATAAGCATCTTCTAAAGCACCCTGGGTGGTAGTCCATGCTGTACACTTCTACATGTCAGTCTGTGTTGCTGATGGGATGAAAAGCAGGAGCCTGGGAAGGACCTAGAAGCAATATAACATTAGCAGACTTCTGCCTGGGCAAATCTACTTTGAGAAACTAGCACAAACATATTCAAAGTACTTCTCTGAGCCAGCTGTCAGACCTGTCTGCAGCACTACCTGCTGTGCAGACACACCCAGGCACGTAACAGAAGATGAGAGTGAAAGGACAGAGCCTCCTTTTGCAACACATCTGCGGCCTGCTCTGAGAAAGCCCCAGATTTGCCTCTGTTTCATATTACTTTTTGACTCAGATTAACAGAAAATGGCCCACTCCTGACATTAAGAAAACATGTAAAACCTACCACTACAGGTGATACCCACAGTCCCTCTCGTCCATCCTGCCCTCAAGAAGAAAACATCCAAGGAGATCTCCAATTACTTGTTTATATCCAGCTTCTCCTTTCTTACTCTCTTTTGCTCTGTAAAATCTTCCAGAAATAATACTGGAGTAGACCATATAGAGCAATTTCTCATTTAGGTACCTATTTGTCTAAAATGCAATGTTACTGAAATCAGGAAATTAAGTCAAATTCAGAGTACAACTTTTACATGGAGGATAATGTATTAAAAGGCATACCTCATGCTGCTTCTCAGCAATATTCACTGCATTTAAGGCAAAGATCACTTCCCTGGCTCCTACATATAGAACGTTTTTGTCTTCACTTAACAGCAAGGTTGAATAGTTTGACACTTTTGATTCATTAAAATGTATTAGCTGGACCTCTGTTGAAACGGAAAAAAATAGCACCTCATGAAGAAACACAATCACTTAGGGTCAATCTCATGAGTAATTTTTTCTAAGTTGTCTAAAGAGCTGTTGGAAAACTTGAAAACAACAAAGGTTAATTCAGACGACCAGTGTAAAAGACAAGGGACCCCTCAGAAGCTTGACTGAGCAGAAACAGGAGCTTACACCAACATCAAAATCACTTGTCCCAACCTTCTCATTCAATTTCAAATGCTCGAGTATTTCCTCTTGTGGTGATGCCTGTAACTCATTTATTCCTTCTTTTTTTTTTCTACTTGCTTTTTCTAAACTTGTCTTTTCCACATCCACTGTCAGACTGCTCCTCACCTTTTCCTTTCCATATACCAATCTACTGTGGAAAATCAGACCAGTCACCACCTCCCTTTGCAACCACCCTGAACAAATTCTATGAAATATCCTGCACCTGATGACAACTCTTCAGCATACTGACCTAACAGAAAGAGATACGGAATCAAATAATAAACCATTTGCAGCTGATTGTGAAGTGAAAACCAGAGCTGAAATACACAACATACACACAAAATAACAGCATGAGGGAAAAAATCAAGGAATAGAAATAAGACAAGAGGGAGACAAGAGAGAAAAGGCACTAGAATGAGGAAGTGTGTAGAGTGGACCAGAATGGCTTGAAGAAAGATGACACAAACTGACTAATACAAAAGGGTATTTTTTCTGAAAGTACAGCTATAATGTAAAAATGACTGAAAGCTTTTGTACATGAAGACGCAAGATTAATTAAGCATGGCTTTTTATGATACAGATGACAACAATATATTATTACTTCCAATTGTATCATTAGTAATTGCACATTTTCAACTGTAATACTCCAGAAACATTAATTTTAAATTAGATTTCTCAAGCATGTGATTTTGACATCTTTTGCTTGGCAGGAAATTTTCCCAAAATGAAATTTTCCCAAAACTTGATCATACATTTCGAGAGTTGTTCGTACAACTCCACTGAACTAAATTCCCTCTCCTATTCAAAGTACGCTTCCAACATTTAAATGCAACAATCTTTAGCAGACAGAGAAAGAAACAGCAGGAATGAAAATAAACTCCCTTTATTTTGACTAATTTGGATGTGAGTCGGCAGTACCCTACTATACCATTAAATAGCAAATTGCCAAATTTTAACTACAAGTTAGAAGCATCAAGGAGTCTAAGCAGGAACTGCAGGCCTTGTCTAGGTCACCCTTTCTGAAAGGCTGTGCCAGCAACTCACTAATTGCTATACTAACCATCAGAAAAAACACTTCCTACAGTCATCCCATAATCTGCTTATTCCTACTACATTCTTAATCTTCATCTATCTTTTCCTACAGAATGTCTGCTCAGAATTTAACATCCTTATTTAAGATTGCTTCATTATACAGCCAGTGCATTTGTTCAGATTCATTCAGTTGCTGTACACTTGGGTCAGTAATCGATTGCTGCTTACTAATGTTAAAGAAGGACCCAAAGACAAAATCTCAAAGCATCCATGCCACATGGGTAATGGGGGAATAGGAGAGGAAAAAAGGGATAAATGTATATATTCACAAATAACTACTCTATAGACTTTGCTTTAAGTTCTTTTCAGACCCAGGTTAATTATTAAACCAAAAGCTGGAGATCCCCTGATTGCTATTACTTCTCTTTGCACTTATATTTGCAGACTTCTGATTATTGTATTGGGAGATTATGAACACGTGCTGCAATTTCAAATGCAAGAAAGTCACTGTCCTGTGACTTTCTAGACACCATAAAATGCTGTTGAAAGAGGGCCAAATGCTTATATTTTTTTTGCCTGTTGATTTATTTAATGCTCAAGACGACTTGGTGTCAAAATAGATTATGAGCTGGAGAGGTGCATTTTGCATGTATTCAGACTCCAGGTAAAAATTGCTTAAAATAAAATAGACCTACTGGGATTTTCTCTTGAAACAAGTTTGAGTTGCAATATCCTTCAGCTGAGAAAGACAAATTTGGAATTCCTGCTCTGTTTGAAATCAGCTCTGTTTTTAAAGCTGCTTGAAGGAACCAGAATCAGTTAATCCAGTGCCTGAATGACTTTTCAGTATTCTGGTCCTAAGCATTTAGTAGAGTGAGCAAAGTAACAACACCTGATCAATTCACAGCGAATTGGCTGAAAGAACCTAATGCCTCATGGAGTTTCAAATCCCACAAAAACCCTGAGGATGTGGCAATGTCCCATGTTACAATACTTACATATCGGCTCTTACCTTTGTGTTCCCAAGTGATCCTTGGCACTGGGCCAAATGCTATTGCCACTTCTAGCAACAAACCCCAAACTGCATAAAAAGCACACAGAGCCATCTTCCGTGTCCCTGCTCTTCGGGGTTCACTGGATAACTGCAGCAGGCAGCGTTTCTTTGACAGATGAAATGGAGACCCCAGGGAGTATTAGAGACCAGGCATTTCAGGTCTTGAGAGCAACACAACAAGGGAGGCTGGAACAACTGTACAAGTACGTGCTTTTCAGCAGATCACTTCAAGAGAACGCACATTTTCCAGGATGCTGCATATAGAGACTGCCCACACACTCCACAGGCTGCAGAGCTGCTGAGAAGTGTAACTGAGTGCATTCTTCTGTTTCGCCAGAGAAATAAATGATGCTGTGGAGAGAGGAGGGAAGCAAGAAGTAGAAGAGAAAGCAAACCAAGTACTGCCAAAAATAGCACTAATGTTGCAGTATTTCTACAGCTGTCATATCCTAATTTGGACACAAAATATATTAATTGGTGAAAATCATTCTTAAAAACATGACACACATTACATGGCAAATGGGCAATAACTGAAAGCAATCATTTCAGTCCAGAATTCCAAGTGCAAATACTTTGAATTATCAATTATGTTTAATGCACAAAACTTGACTCCAGTCTATTCTTTCAATAGTTTGTCAAAGAAAATCCCACCTCACTGACCAGCAATAAACAAAGATAACAAAAACCACTAATATCACAGAGCAAAGTACATGAGAAGTGCAGCATTAATAGTAAGAATGGTCACACAATCTGCTGTACCTCCCACACTTGGGATCTTACCTAAGTCTTTTTTTAGTGAAGTTTCCTAAAATGCTACTAACTCACTCAAGGTGTGCAGTGTGCATGGGGTAGAAACACAGCTACAGAAACAAAGAGCTAATGCACTGCATACAAAACTTCAGAAAGAAAACACTTCAACAGTGAAACTGCTAGATAGTCCCATGAAAGCCATTGTGTTCCTAAGTCAACTATTACTCTCAGACCACTAAAGGCCTGTCCTAATAACAACAAAACTGTTCACTGCTTTCTACACCATCTTCCAGAAGTCTCCACTCATCCTGTCTTCCTGCAACTACTCCTAGACGAAGACTCCAGAAACAATGAGTGCATTCATCAATTACTTGATGATAAATAGGTTTTGAGGCCTGGACACTTGGGGTGGTGATGAAAAAAACATGCTGTCCTTTGCAGCACAGCACAAGATGCTAGATCTTCACTGTGCCACCACTGCCTGAGACACTAAGGTCACCGTCCCTCTAGTAAGGGACACACTATGATACAAGATAACTGTAATATCTATCCAGCAGGAGGGCAAGTGAAGGTTTATTGATTTTGCATGGCCTGATTTTGGTAGCAGGTGAGCTTCAGTGGTGGCTTGTGGAAGAATCTGCTAGAAGCTCCCACCACATCCAATACAGCCACCCTGTGGCAGCTCCAAAGACAGACAAGCTGCTGGCCAAGGCTGGCCCAACTACCAATGGTGTTAATGTCTCCGTGAAAAACTCAAAACACAATTGGTGGAACAGTTTTAGTTGTGAGCAGAAAAGAGCAGAGTGAGAACACGTGAGAGGAACAGCCCTGCAGACACCAAGGTCAGTGAAGGAGAGGCAGGAGATGGCTCCAGGCATGGAGCTGGGATTCCCTCGCCACCCCTGGTGCAGACCATGGTGAAGCAGCTGTGCCCCTGCAGCCCATGAGGATGCTGAGATCCACCCACAGCCCATGGAGGAACCCCAGGCTGGAGCAGGTGGATGCTATAGGAAGCAGTGACCCCGTGAGAGAACTGTGGAGAGAGGGGTCCTCATCGCTGCTGCAGCAGCCTCTCCTGGAAGGACTGCACCCCACTGAAGAGTGACCCAGACTGCAGCAGTTTTGGGAGGACTGTGTGTCCCTGGGAGGTACTCACATTGCAGCAGGCCACAGAGAGCTGCTGCACTTGAGAGGGACTCACATCAGTGTTGTAGTGTGATTTCATGGTTTACCCCAGAACCCGGGTTTCTCCCCTGATGATTCCCTCCCAGGCATGTCCATCATCCTTTCTTTCCCCACCCTGACCCCTGCTGAGCACTGTCTGTCCATCCTGGAATTCCAGAAGGGTGTCATGTGATTGGGCAGATTCAAAATATGCCCTCTACCCCCGGGGGCCATTGGGCAATGGAAGTGTCCTTTGTCCCTTGAGACCTCCTCTCCCATACCTGGCTAATGGGTTCTCTGTCCCTTCCCTCCTCCTCTCCCCCAGGTAAAAGGACGTGGTGGTCCAGGAGTTCTGTTGGAGGAGCTGCTGAATTCAGAGGCCTGTAGGCCGGAATAAAAACTCTGGATTAAAACCCTCCATCAGAGCCGACTCCTTTCCTCCACCACCGCCTTCAGGCTTCTCCAGCAGAGGGAAACCTGAGGAGTGGACCCCTCTGCAAGAGGAAGCTCCATCCAGCCGCCACTGGAGCCCCAGCATGTCTGGGCTTGCCTCCATGCACGCAGCTGGAACTCACAGCTAGCCAAAATGTCCCTCCCTGGGGTGAAGCACCACAGTTGCTGCTATTTGGTTCAGGAGTAGGGTCAAACAAGCCAAGGTACGTCCCATCCACCAATACTGGTAATACCAATACATCAGAAGCTCACGGAGAACTGTCTCCCGTGGGAGGGACCTCCACGGTGCAGCTGGGGAGTGACTCCTCCTGCTGAGCAGCAGAATAAACCATGGCTGATTAATTCACCATAATCCCCATTCCCTGTCCTCTTGCACCACTGGGGTAATGATGTAGAGCTTGGGAAGGAGGGAGGGATGGGGTGGAAATTGTTTTTCAGGGCTTTTTTTTACTTCTCATTATCTTGCTCTGATTGTGTTAGTAATGTTTTCAATTCATAGCTCTAATTAGAGCCTGCTTTGCCCATGATGATATTAGATGAGCAATCTCTACCAGTCCTCATCTCTACCTATGAACCCCTCCTTGAATTTTCTCCCCTGTCCAGCTGCTCAGGAGAGTGAGTGAGCAGCTCTTGTGGGTGCTCGGCATCCAGCCAGTGTCAACCCATGACAGAAGGTTACAAAATCATTAGCAACATTGAAAGGGAAGGGACCGGTACTTGAAAAAAGGTAAAAAGACTAAGGGAAAGCTGCAGCAAGAACATCTCTAAGTACAAGCAAGATCCCTCTGGGAGGACCTGGGTTTAAGCAAAAAAAGGCAAGGAATCTCTAATAAAAGCAGCCAGTGGATCTTAAGTAAGGTGACCAAGCAGAAGATGGGCAACTACATGTGATCACAGACAAGACTAAAAGACTTAGAAATCCCATTTATTTCTATAAATATCTTCTTTACTAAGAAAAAACATCCACACAAGACTGTAACTTGCTCAAGCTGAATCCGTAACTTTTTTTTTTCCTGTTTTTTTTGGTCTTAGTAAGCACTTTGCATCAAATCCAACTGTTTGTAACAGATCATATAAATAGTCTTGGGTTTTAATCATATTTTCAGTTAAACTTACCAGACTTTTTTGTGTGTCTTTCATCCTTCCTGTTTACCATCATATACAAGCAATTCCAGGTTTTGCTCTCCAATACATTAAAAAGTGCCCAGTCATCCAAGTTACAAGGCATGACATATTCTGAGGCAAGCAAACAGCTTTACAGGTAAGTGTTTTAAAAGGGAACAATAGTTCAATTAAGTTCCAGGCAGTTTAGCTATTTTATTTTAAGAGAAATGTAAGGACGAAAACAGCCGTTTGAACACAGCTAATCCTTTGCTTAATGCTACGTTTTGTTAGTGAGAAGACCGCACATAAAAATCAATTCCCTGTTAACTCTTGATAGTATTAATTTTTTTTAATGTTTAGATATTTTTTTAAAGATACAGACAGGACATCTTAAATCTATCAGTTATGTACAATACCATACAGCAGAGACAACTCCAAAGGAAACTCCTGAAGTCCAGTGAATTTTTTGGACTTTCAAATAGAATTTGCAAATATAAGCCCTAGTAAAGAATCCTGAGTTTTCATATAGTCACACTACATTCCTAGTCTAGCTTGCCTACCTCAGTAAATGCAAAATGGCAATGAAGCTTGAAACAACATACATTATCTTTTGAAGGAAACAAAGGGTCTGGCTGGATCCTTTAATGCCTGCTTTGCTATACAAAATGGAAATCTGTGATTTCCTACTGTACAGGATTGCAAGAACGGTCCTTTTTCACATTAATAAGTTTGACTTGTTGGACATTACTTGATCTAGGGCAAAATTTTGCATGTTACAAAATGATTACAGTGAGCATTACATGCCCAATTGTGCAAGATCCACTTTGTTCTCATTTCTATAACTTTAAGTAGAGATGAAAATGCATTCAGAACCTTGTCCTTTAATTTAGCCTTCAATTTAGTTACTCTCCCCTGCCCCTCCCTTCCCTGCGCTGAAAATTTTCTGGAGTAAGTCTTCCACTGGCATCCACTGAGAGGTCATTCATAATCTAATATGAACCTCTCTTTACATAACACAAGTGGTACAAGAAGGAAAAGTTAAAAAAAAATTTTAAAAGGCCCAGACAGTGGCCTCATTTCCAGATTAACTCAGTTCCATCAATGTTCACTAGCTTTGATTAGATCTGAGTGCTCTGAATTTCTGAAGTTAGGTCTCCTAATACTTTGAGCATTACTCCAAAAAAATCAGCCACAATTTGCTTGGAAACAAGTACACTGAAGTAGTAAAGGGGAAAGAAACCTGAAATATTTGGTTACATAATTAAATTCTGACTAAAATGACCACAGGTCTACTTTTCTGTAGAACTATTAAAAATTTTCTGAGGTAAGTAATCAGTAAATCCATAATTTACGGACTCTGATGATAATTTTACATCAGTGATGTAATGATGAAATGGAGCAAAGTGAGTTTTCTGTGATGCTTTTATTTATGGTCACTAAAAACAGGGCAACTGCAGAAGCAATCAACGCAGCTCCTGTCAGTTTGGCAGAGCACAGCTAGAAGCTCAAAGCTGTGAACATTCCCATTGACACGTAAAATTGTAATCCATGGAAAGGGAAACAGGTAGAAACAACGTTCTGCTCTCTTGAAGGATAGGAATTCAAAGCTGTTAGAAAAATTTCAGGCTGCATAACTGCTAGTACGGAATACTATTTCAAGTTTTGAAACCAGGGAGTTGCAATGGCATATAGTGACTGTTACAAAGATCTCACATGTCTCTCACATCACCTGCATCACTGGGCATCAAAGAAGCAGTGCTTTCTTCTGGAAAAATGCAAAATCCTAGTCATGCAATGTGAGAAACTGGAAAACCAGTCATGGGAAGGAGACTGTCATCCTCCAGGACACAGAGCGAAGTACACACAAAGAAGTACTCGTGAACACAACATTTCATCTTTCAGAGATTTCAATTCCACAACCCTTGCCAGTACCTAGGTTTTTTTAGTAAGTAAGGCAACCCAGAGGCAAGTGTCTTCTTCCCCAGTCAGCATGGTACGGCTGGATCCAAGTGTGTATCTCGTATGCGCGAATACCGTAAGTTAGCCAGATTCTGGCATTTCAAAGCTAGGAAATGGCCAATTCTGCAACACTCATTTTGAAATATTTTTTCTTCTGATAAACACTTAGTTGCATTATGCAACTTCTCAGCTTGGCTCAGTACTACATAAACTGCTAAGAGTACCTAGTTTTATTTTGTATATGAAGGTTAAAACCTTAACACACCATAAACAGTCAGAATCATAGTTGGGACTCTTGCGATTCCTAAGAAATGATCACTACCATCACACAGGATCCAGCCCCTCCCTTGAAGAAAGCCAAAGACACGCCAGCCATTCTGGCCTAATGCCATCACCCTCTTCATGATTCTCCAGCCATACTAAGTGCCTCCATAATTTTCCTCCCTTTTGGTATTGCACTTTTTTTCTCCTCCACAGGGTTTATCTCTCCTTATAATCCCTTATCTGCTCTGTACTTATTCTCCCACCCTTGCTGTCACCTACTCTTCTTCCCCAACACGAGCAATGCACAGCTCCATGACCACAGGTGATGCCAGCCCCACAGTGAGGCTGTCAGACAAAAGACCACCTTCCTTAAAGGAAGGCCCTTTAAAATACATACTTCCCTACCTCTCCATAAAATCACTGTCACATCACTCATTGTCCAGAGACAGCAAAATGAGGACCTCACAGTAATTAATAACTAACTGCAAGACACCCTTCCTTCCCACTGCCAAGAGTGAAACAACCATAACAGGTTGCCAGGCAGTCTACTCCACTATTTTTAGATAATTAAAAAAAAAAAAAAGAAAGGAAAACAAACAACAAAAAACCAAAAACATTTGGAAAACTTGCAAGGAGTAACTTTTAAGTTACTGTGATGAGGGATATGAAGCTCAGTATGTGGAGACAGGCGAATTTATGAGTGAATTGCTTCCGCCAGCAGAAAAGGATGAGTTAAAGGACTCAGCTGTCAGGGGGCATAAATTCCAAGTTCTCCCTAAATAACTTTCTTTTGAAGCTTTAAGGGAATACAAGCCTGCTTTAATATTTATTGATGCCTATTTTAGAACAGATGTTCCATTTTAGAACAGATTCTAGGGCTCCATACTTGAAAAACAAACCAGAGAAATCCAACCATGAGATTTTGTTTAAACCTGTTTTTTTCTTTTTCAATTTTGTTTCCAAAACTCAAAGGAAAAGTTAGCAATATTTGTATTTTAAGTAATCAAAATTACACAGGGAGAAGTGTACAAATTACCTTTGACAGCTGAGTTTTATCTACATTGTTTGTGAATTTCAGACCAGTAAAGACAGGGTCATTATATCCTTTGCTTCAGTTCTCACCCTTTTAAAAACCTCAAGCACAATGCCATTTTTATACAGTCTCATGGAAAACATCATTATTTACAATCTCTTCATTATAAAACACATATGGATTCATTTTTCATTCATCCCTTACCTCAGGAGCTGAGGTAAGGTACAGCCTCAAACCAGGAGATCAGTAGCCCTTTATGATTAATATATACATATGAAGCATGGGATTATTGCATTTTGAACTGCAACCAAAATACTTTGTAGTTGCTAGATGATTACAAATTAGATGAAGATTCCTAAGATAATTTGATGTGGTCTTTTTCTCTACCACAAAGCCTGCTGGAGGATGTGCACTAGTGCTAGAATATAAAAGCTATGGAAACAAATACCCAGTTTTAGGCCAGAAATCAGTATTTTCTGTTTCTGCATGATAAATATGTCATCAAGCAGTCCACAGAAAACTAATGCTTGTGCTTAAAGAAGAGAATTTATCTTCAGAGGGATATTACTAGAGATTTGTTACTTTCTTAAACTCGCACTCCTGTTCTTTTACTACTACATTCTTTTTCTGTGGGCAAAGATTATATGAAGATAAATTATCACATGAAAAAAAATAATGACAAGACAGATTAAGACCCTTATTTTTAAGATTATTGCGGATAGATCTCTAGGAACAGGATTCAACTTCAAAGAGCAACAGGAAAGAGCTAACTTGGATGCAAATTTATCCCAAATACAGAATTCAAGAGCTGCCCTGGGCATATTCTAAGACCCTCTTCTGCTTGACTGGGTACTCCCAAATATTAAACCTGGGTTGTGACAGTGACAGTGCTGCAGTTAAAACCAAGCAAGAAGGAAAGTTTCTGAAGTTCATCTTCTCCTACTAGTTAAACATACTGTCACAATAAAAAATACTGCTCAGTTTCTTTGTCATTTTTTCTTGGCTTCATAGGACTGAATGATGCCTCCTGGCAATTAATGGCATACGTGAAAGTACCTGCATGTCTAAATTAACAGGTATGTGTGCTTTAAAAAAACCTATGGTAGGTGTCCAGCAACACGTTCAGAGTCCAACATCTCCAAAAGCAAGGCCAGGACCCCTTCATACATATAAACCACATAACACAGGGAAGGTGCAACCCTGAAAATGACCTTTTAGTGGTAACTACAGAACAGGTAAATACAGAGTACGTTCCTGAGTAAAAGAAATCCTTCCTGGTAAGTTTCCTGAGTATTTTGGTCTTGAAGCAAAAGAATGTAATAAATCAAACTTGTAATTCAATCCTGATTTACATTTTTTAGTTTGCACTAAGTCCCCAGTATTCTTGAAGTACACTTATTTGTTTTGCTAACAAGCACATCTGTAACAGAGTCACCACGAATCCAACACAGCCCTCCTTGCTGTGGGGATGTACCTCTGGTTTCAACATACGTACCTGCCACCCTTCAGAGCCTCCTGCACACCCCAGAGCTGGGAAGCCGTCAGAAAAACGTCCTTTCTGGAAAGAGGTAAGAAACAGGCTTTGACATGAGTACCACATAATCCTGAAAGGCAAGTTTTCATATGGGAATTAAAATAAATCCTCCCCCAGAGTTTGGCTTTTGTTTTCCAGATTTCCAAGGCAGAACATTCCTGACAAAAAACAGAACTGCTACATTTGCATCCAGTGAGCCAAGATCCTGATGTTGCACTTAACACCAACAAAATATTAAGCAGACCTGATAAAAAGCAGACACATCAGCCCTTTTAAAACTCAATTTGTATCTCCTATCCCAAGCTGGCTGGTATCTACCCAGCACAAAATTACTCAGTACTTGCACTGCAGTAGCAATTACTGATACCAGTAAAAGTCTGGGGCCCCTCACATGCTGGTATGGGATGTACTAGAGAGAGGTTAGACACCAGGCAGCCTCACAAACAACTACCTTTACAAAATTTATATGAATTGGTTCCAACACCTTCCTCCATTATTAAAAAACTGCATTATGCACCAGCTTAGGAAAGAGGCTCTGGATATTGACAACGATACCCAGAATACTCGTATTTATTTTGCTGTAATCACAGGTCAACAGTGGGCCACTCTGAAGCAATCACAACAAAGCACTTATCCCAAGATTTTTCTACATAACATGTTTCCAATATGCAGACTCATAACATTGTTACATCAGACTGTATTTAGCATATGTATTTCCTGATCTTCAAAAAACCATTTTTAGAAGGCTGAGCCATGTGAAGGGATAGTGTTTTTCAAATGCAAGTCACTGACGGTCTGACGTAGATTTCACTATAGTCAATAGTAAAGGGATTCCCAAAGATGCAAGTGGTAAGATGGTGCACCTGACAAAAAATCTCCATTGCACTTATCAAGGCTTAATTCTTGTCCCAGAAGATTATAATGGCTCAGAAGACAGATGCCTCAAATGGAACAGGCTAGAGAAAATGATAAGAAGCAGCTCAGTACTGCAGGTCTGTCTCTAAGGGAGTGCCTATACATGGTCTTTTCCAGAGATCTTCAACAGTGCACGTTTTGTGGCTACCAGTATAGTAAAAGGCATCAAACAGCTACATCAAGCACACTTTCGCTTACAAAATAATATTTTCAGTATATTTTGGGCTATAGAAAGGGGGCAAGGTAGTCTGATTCTCCCCACAACCATTTTTGAACAAGATACCCCATGAAAATCCGTTACACCCATCCATGTTATTAACAGCCTGCTACTAAAGAGTAGCCGAATGTAACTGATTTACTTCTGATTAAAAAAAAAAAAAAAACCTCATCCACCTTTCATTCTGTTGAAAACAAACTAGAGCGGGCAAGCTGTAAATCATCTGATCAGTTATGAAGCTCTCCACAAACCAACTTACACCAGATCACCTCTATGGCTTTAACTACTCAGTACTGAAGTGAATAGGTAAAATTTACCCAAAAATCCTGCTTGCCACAAGAGGCTATCAATCAACATAGCCACTATCGCTACTGGAGTTTTCAGATCCAAGTAGGCCTCCTTACAGCTTATGCTCCCAGAGCAAAGTATAATAATCTATTTTAGCTTCAGGTACCTTAAGGGAAAATTCTCTTTTGCCTCTCTTGAGAAAGCTTCCAGCAGCCTACAGCTTGTACAAGCACTTTCACTTAACAAAGCACTTGCATCTAAATGAATAGCTGGAGTAGGTGTGAAACTCCTCTGAAAAGCCTAGCAGCAAATCAGCTGACCTGTATACTTTCCTGGCTTACTTTAAACAGCCCGACATGGAGGTTTTCAAGTCTCGGCAAATAGCTCCAAGGCTTCTGAACTATGATCTGAGGTCACTGAGGATTGAAAGACAGGTGGCAGCTGGCTGGAGGACAGGCCACCTCTCAGACAGCTTCTGGATCTCCACGGAGATGGTAAGAAGCAGATGAGCTGCTAGGCCTTCCAAGCTGAGGCACCTCAGCTCAGGAACTCTGCTCCTATGAGCAGTCCATCCCTCCTCAGTGCGGTCCTTGGGAAGGGGCCAGTAACCAATCAGTGTTTCCAGCAGAGAAATCCACAGGCATGGGGATGGGTGTGAGGGTGGCTGGGCTAAGGTGAAGGGTGGTTTGCAAGTAGGGGCTCATTCTTCTCCCTTGGTCACACTGCCACTGCTACACACAAGAAACTACTCCCTGCTTGCCAGAAGCTATGACATAATTAAGCCCTTTAATCCAACTCAGATTTGAGCATGAAATTAAACATCCATGTGAGCACTGCAGGTTGGCAGACATCCTTCAGGTGCTCTTGTTCAACCCAAACCTCACGGGTGATCCTTTACAGCAGATACTGCAGAAGATCCTTAACAAACCTTATGCGCTGTCAGGTTTTAGGAGTACTTAAGTCTAAACTTATGAGAGAGAAAGAGAAAAAAAACCAAAAAAACAAAAAAAACCACCACTCTCTAAACTTTTCTTCTGGCAATGATTACTTAAGCTTGGGGAGAAAAACTACACCACGAATAGCTCATTATTTTGACAACTGTGACTAAGTCTTCAAAGATTAAAGAAAACACCTACTGGATTATAAATGAAAGACAGCCTGGAATACATTATGTAGAATAAAGGGATAGTCACCTTAACGAAATTTTTCATAAAAGATCCACAATCTTTCATATTATGTGTGTTTGCATACACTTTATTTATTTGAAGGGCTTCTAATCTGTCTAATTCCAAACCACATTAACGTATTACAAGGTACTTCCGGCTGTCACATCCTACTTTCCTTAAAAAAAAAAAAAAGAATTAAAATCCAAAAACAACTACCATGTACTACTTTTCCTCCTGCACATCAATTACCATCCACATCAGCAGCATTTCTTTCATTTTCTATTCAAGCACATGCCTGCTGTAACCAGGTCCTTGTGATCCTAAATGAAGAGAAAAAGAAAGAAAACCCAAGAAAACTAGCTTATAAACAAATTTCCTTTACCTGGAAGTCTCTTTGGGAGCCCACAGGGGCAAATTTTATGTTTGGGAACATTTTTTTTCTATAGCACTATACACCAACCTTACTGAAATACCATTTCCAGATAAATACCTTGATAATCACAACTAGAGCTATATTTGCTACCTCTATTTCAAGTCAGCCACAGCTTATGCATACTGGCTTTCTTAGAAAAACTATTTTAAAAGCTTACATGGAAGCCACAATAAAGTCAACATACAGTTATGAGTAAGACTGCACAGACAGCTGCTCACAGACATTGTCTGTGACTAAGAACTTTCCCGTTAATGTGTGGTTTTAGAGTTTTGAATTACATGAAAAGGTAGGCTAGACTACAAACTTCAAGAACAGTGCATATTATCGTCCTATATTTAAATAATTGATCTGAAACACTAAAATAACTGCTGCTAACACTGCCCCCACCCACTGTGGATGGGGCTGGTGATTATACCCGCACCACCTGTTCAAGACGCTGGGGGTAAAAAATCAAGTAAAAAACGTGCTGCAATACTTGGAGTGCAAAGCTGAAATTTTTTCTTCCCCTTTCCTGCCCGCAAAGTTTACTTTCCATTAAAAAAATCTTAATTTCACAGACCCATTTACTTCCTTACTCACCCCTCTACTTTTCCTAAACATTGTAGGAAAAATAAGTACTTGAGCTTTGACCTGAAGCAGAAGCCCATGCTAAACCTTGTTCTGAAACAGTGAAGTGAAAAAAGCCCTGTTAGATCTCAAAAAGACACCTCTATCTCACCCAAACTCTGCTGGGATCCTCAGTTTTAATTCCTGTCACCTCAGCACTCCTCAGATCTCACAACATCTCTCAAAACAGTCAAGAAAAATATAGAGACTAAACTGGTGGCAGAGAGCTACAAATGCCTCCTGCATCCCAATAACAAAATAAGAATATCAAGGCTGGGTCAGCTACTGCCATGGTAAGAGTTTCTCCATTTTTAAGCATATTGAGAGAATCTGTAGTTAAGCAACTTAACTTTCATGAAAGTGAATGGGAGCTTTCATGATAGTATCTATGCACCCCAACCCTTCTTCAGGAAAGGATCTGAGTGGGTTTCACAATTTCAGCTTTCCTCCTGTTACAATACTGTACAAATTACTGTAAAGTTACAATACTGTACAAATATCAACACAAGAGTATTTTAATAAAAAGCATGGTAATGGTTCTGAGGAAAATTCCAGTAAAGGCAAAGAACAACAACACAATTGTGTGAGACCAACAGCCACAGCACATGAGAGAAGAAACAAGGATGCAAAAATGCATTAAAAAAGTAACAAGTACAAGAACTTCGGCTTGAGATTAATCTTTTTAAGGCACCACTTCAGGGATATGTAAAATCCTTATATATTCAAACAGCCTTGCCTCAGGGAAGAAAAAAGTTCAGAAGGAACACTACAATATTCAATACACAAACAGTCTGCAGAGCAGAGATCACTGTGACCACCTCCACAATCAACAATTTTTCTACTTCAACAAGATTAATATAAAGGAGACAATTACTACTCCTCTTGTCATAAAATCTCATGTAATCCATGTCCTCCTTCTCCTTCTATCAGGAAAGGAGCAATCTGGGAAATTATTTGCTGGTTAAAAAACCTGAACAACAAGAGCAGCAGATAAGCCTCTAAATCTTATTCTTTATTATTCAATTAAAAGTAACAGAAAATAGAAATCTAAATTCTGCCTGCATTTTTCATTGTTGTTCTTTATAAGATGTTCTTTAAGGTTCCTAAAGGAAAATCAACAGCTAAAACCCCCGCAAAGACCCACAAAAACATGTGTCTTACCCAACACACTATCAGATGCCAATTATGGGGAAGCATCTTCTAATATTAATGAGATAAGATATCTGTTTCCATATCCATTCTGACAACATGCCAACCCAGGAAAGCTAAAACTAAGATCAACATCTGTATTATACCACCTGCTTTCTTAAGCAAATAAATTTTGTCACTTTCAGAGAACTTTTGTTCCTTTTCAACTATGTAATACTACAGTATTTCCTGGTTTTACTCTTCTGGATTG